GTCGGGACCCGGCCTGGCCCTTTGTGGGGCTCTCTGGCCCTCCAGGGCTGGGGCCAGCTGCAGGTGGGGCTGTTTGAGCAGAGCCTCTGCCTCCCTCAGGGGAGGCAACCAGGACAGTATGAAGAAGCGATAGGTCTCAGCCCTGCTGCCCCCTGGCTCCTGCAACCCAGTCCCTTCTGCCCCCCTGCTGCTGAAATTGCCCTAACTCCAGACAAGCTCGTACTGTTGGATTCCCCAGTGTAGATGGGGCAGCCGCTGCCAACAAGATGAGAAGCCCCGTTTTGAAGCCTATCTCATTGAAGAGCTAATGCTGCTGGCAGCTGCCAGCATCTTGTCTGTGCTGGGTCCATCAGCATCCTCTTTATGCTGGCAGCAGTGGGAAATGTTTGTTTTGTTTTAGTGTAGATGGGGCCTGTGTCACCACTAAGTGGACATCAGTTCATCAGAGTATCAGTTTTCAGCAAATAAACTTGCTCTGTGTTAAGTGAGGTAGCAGCAACACTACCCCCTGGAGAAGGCATGTGTGAAAACATGGTTGGCGCTGTACCCTTCATAGGAACGAACAACAATGTTTTGTTTGGCCTCGCTCAGCAGAGGCATGAGGAAAGCTTTAGAAACCCTCTCAGGGTGATGTGTTTCTTCAGTAAATTACTGATGCCATAAAAGACTGCCAATTCTAGTGTGAAAGAATCCCCAAACTAATGAGTGCTCTTGTACTATGTAGTGTTTGCTTTCTCTGCAGTACATACATATTTGTTACAGATGTCTTGATGCTCTCAACACTAGTAAGGATTATGATCTGGTAAAATGAACCTGGTAGCATTTGATGGCTGTAGTTTATCTCATTGGCTTAAGAACTCCCTCTAATGAAACAGAGGCTTTGTAACATCCTGGGATTTAAATCCTTGGCTTTCATTCAGAGAACTTGGATGAGACAGTTGTAAGAGAAGCAAATTTATCTGCAGTGGTTGCAAACCCTTGCTGTGTAATCGTAAACTAGTTGGCATGACTAACAATCCGTACTCTAGGCAAGACCTCACTGAAATGTGCTTGTGTGTTCTAAAGCAAGATTTAACAGTATTGTAACAAATCTACATGGAATTATTGTGTAGTTTCTGTTTCTAGCCAGCATTAATCCCCTTACTTTCAGCAACAGTAAACCAAAACAAAGTTGGCTAAAAAGATGATGAGGTGACAGTAGCAAGGTTATTAGTTTGGCCTAAATATGTACTTCCAGATTAATCAGTGGAACAGATAGCTCAGTGCTTTAGAGGAGAAGGAGGAGGCTACCTGGCACACCTGTATGGCTCTATCCCGATGCATACATAGGAGGTACAGTTTAGATAGTGATATGTATTTAAAACAAAAGGCAGTTCACCACAGTGTGTCCATAATTAGAGGGAATGCCCAGAAGTCCTTTGAGTCTGTAAAATCTTTCTGTAATCAGTGTGTTACGCTCGGTAGATCAGGATGTCAATTTTACTAAATTTTGTATAAGTATTTTCTGAATGTTAAAAGTATCTTTTGAAAATATTGTAATCTTTGTAACACTGGCTAACATAGCTTTACCACTGTATACTGTTGTTGTCTGTATGACTGAACAAAAGGGCACACTGGGATTTGGTAGCTGGAGGTTTATCTATTGATCATCTAGCCAGTTCAACTAAAAGCACTGGTTGTCACAGCCTGCTATGTAATGCATGGGTCATTTCTTTATTAATGTGTGTATCGAGTTGGATGGTTGACCATGAAGATACTACAGATCTATTCATGTACTAAATACTTCCTATTATTTCATTTTAATTTATTTTCTCCAATTTGATATGTACCTCTAACGTCAGCTCTGTGATGTACTGATTTTTCTGCAATTAGAGTATGAAGCAAGGTTGGTTTTTTGGGTTGGTTTTTTTTTTTTTGGTAGGAAAATCATTAGTAAATACCTGCTACCCCATCTGATTTAACATATGTAATTGGTCCAGCAGATCTATGCTCCCATCAAGACAATAGGCAGCACAACGTCTCTCCTGACAAACGAGACCATTTGTGCATCCTAGCTTCTTCAGAATGTGCGTGTTGTAACAGTCATGGTACTTTTTTACCATTGTAAAAATGCACTTCAGGATGTTCAGCCATTTGGCCTGCTGGACTGGTTAACTGCTGGACTGTTCCACTTCTCCAGGTTACACTGAGGTGCTAACATACTTAATTTTAATAAAGTATATTTTGTTTTGTTATGTTTCCTGTTTCCATGCTGTATAATTGTGAGGGGTTCTCAGCAGGGCTGTCCCTGCAATTGGACAGCACTTGCACTGTATTCTAGTCCAAGCTAGAACTTGGCAAACTGTCCTTTGGTTAAGACCAAAGGGACTTTCTAATCACCACAAGTAACTATATTTAAATACTTAACCTAGTGCATTATTATTGACAACAGCAGTTCTACAGCATGTCTTATCTGAGGACTTCCAAGTTTCCTTTTAAATACTTACTCAATGTTTCCACACTGTCCCAGTGAGGGTAAAGCTTTATCTCTGTGATAGTTTGACTTGCTGAGCCCTCATCTCAGAGGCTGATGTATTACTGTGAATGGAAATAGGATGTCTACAGATAGGTTGACTGGATTTCTGAAAGGCTAGTGGCTGCAGCTTGCCTTCTCTTTTGAAAGGGCTTTTTATTCTTCATAAACTCCACAGCTGCAACAGTGGGGATAGCTTTCAATTCATGTAGCATGAGGAAAGAGGACTTTGAGGTCTGTTCAATGTAATTATGTGCTTGCCTACACAATGGCTATAGCTATTTCAATTAGTGAACAGCTATTAGGCCAAGGGTGCTCTCTAAATGGTCAGTGATGTGAGCAGTGAGAACCAGACTTCCCACAAGGCAGAGAGACTACATGAGTCTCACACATTGCACAAGGCTGAGGAAGGAGAAAGCATGGTTTCCTATGAACCAGTCTGGTACAGCATGCAGGAAAAGGCTAGTAGTATTTATGAATTTGTAATTGTACTTCTCAAAGTTCTTAATTTCAGACTGTTTTAGAACTGCTACTCTTGAGTAATTGTAAGGGGCAAAAAATTACAACTGGTGCCTCAAACACCACATTCTTGAGTTGCCCTAGAAACATTAAGTGAAGCTGTATGACAAAAGCGAAAAGTTTTCCTCATGCACACTTTTCCTCCACTTACTGCTAAATTAAGGTAAGTAAGCAATGGTACTGACAGTGACTTAAGGAGCTGATTCTGTAGGAGGGTACCTTAATATGTTACTAAATAAACTGTATTACTACTCAGTGAAAATGCTTTTTCTTCCATTTTAACTCCTTACCTTTCTGTATCTTCTATTCTCATCTAGCATATCTCCTTCCAATATTTTTCTTCTTCTAGCACTAACTGTTTTTGGTTGCTACATTCCTGCAAGACTCTATATTTAAAACAGTATTTATTGTTCTAAGGGAAAATCTTAATTTAATCTTGATAACAATCACCCCCAGAGATTAAGAGTAACTCCCTTTCTGGGTCTTGTACAAATTTTTCAGTTATCCTTTACCTCAGTGGGTTTATAATTTTATTTTACTTATGATTATGTATTCTTGCTCAAGGTCCTCAAGCTGCAGAGCTCAGACACTAAATAAGTCAGGTATTTTCTAAGTAGCCTATATAAATTCCTTAAGCTCAGTGCGGTGGCAGAAGTGAATGTACTAGTTCCACTTTCCAGTTACACAAGAAATCGAGAAATGTATATATATACACATTTCTATTTCATTTCCCCATCTATATCACATTTTGTCAGGATTACATGCCTATGTGGATGAGGATAATACAGCCTACCTATAACAGGAAGAACTACTACTCAGATTATCAGCTGGTTGACTGGGGTTTTTGGTGCGTGCTCACTGATAGGCCAAAGAGGATTACATCTGTAAAAAGTTTCTCGTTGTTCCTTCCCCCACCTCCCCATCAGCTTACAAAAATCACGCAATAATTGAAGCTCTACCATTAAATGCTGAACAAGGATATGCCATTGGCTAGATTGTGTGAAAAGAGTTATCAACATGCTAAAGTATTTAGTCTTTACCTAATGGCTCTGTGTATCTGTGAACCATGCAATGCACACCTCTGAATCAAATGAAAGAGCAATTCTTTTGAAGGCTGTGAGCCTTTGGCAGATGCCTAATCACTTGGCACTACCCACAATGAAGGAACAGTTTCCATTTCTAAGGTCTCTGCAATTTAATAAGCTAAAAATCAGTCTCTGTGAGAACACAGTTTGAAAAGAACTTCAACCACAAAGCCCCATAAGAGCACCTGTAGCCTGAATTCAGCCTGAATTGAGTTCTTCGTGATCAGATAAGGATGGAAAGGGTTAGAGTTCATAATGTGACGCTGCTTTTATGTGACAAGAAAAGTTAACAAACAGAACCAAACAGGAGAAAGACACAGTCAAGCATAAACCCCCTCTCTTCTGTAAATGAATCCTTAGTCCTCGTTCATGCACACACACAAGGCTTGCTCAGTTCACCTGCAAGATAAGCATTAAGATAATTTAAAGATAAGATTTAAAGATAAGCATTGCTCGTTTTAAATTATTGCCCAGATGATTTTTATTTTATTTTATTTTCTAGTACTCTGTCCAAACTGTTTATCAAAAGTTTGAGAAATTCCTTTTTCTCTTCCACTGCTGGAATCCTTTCTTATGTGTTCCCATTCCAACTCCACTTCTGGTTTCCCTATCCTATCTCCTGCCTTCAGTTTCAGAAACTGCCTTCTCTTACAGTACTTCCCACTCTTCCTACTTCTGCTCTGTTACCAGGGCCATGATGGGACAAGAAAAGAACAGAGCAGAAATTACTGTGCCAGTGAATGTCATTATGCAGAGACTGGAGACTCCTCTGGGAACTGGTGTTCTAGAAAGCACTGACTGGTAGACTGGATGGTATTTCTCTGATACAGCCTCCAGAGTCTTCCATGTGGTTTCTGCAGAAAGCAGAGGTGCTGAAATTCTGGGCTAAATCTGGGCTAAATCAAGAGAGATATAAGCAACAATTCCAACCTTCCGTTTTTCACCTTTCTTTTCCTTCTTCATCTCCCTACATGCCCTCTTTTTTCTCTCACGATGGAGGTGCTGTGGGCGCGTTTTGGGGCACCTCCCTCCTATGCAGGTTGGCTCCCCTTGGTTTTCCTGATCAGAGCCCAGGCAATGTCCAACAGGGTCCTTGTATCATTTCCAGATCCAAGGCAGCAGCTACAGCCTCCCAGTACCACTGACAAGAAGGAGGCATCTAAGGCTTTAACTTCACCCCTGAGTGGAAGGAAGAGCACTTCCAGGGTCCTCCCCAGCCTGAGTTAGCATCACAGATTCCTTATGGTTCAAAGGGCAGATTTTTTCCCAGCAGAAATACTACAGCTCAGATGGGTGTGCTGGAGTAGCTGCAGAGACCACACTGGCAACCTCAAGGCAACCAGACATACCTGCCCCTGCCCCACAACTGATCTGGAAATCACTATGCCAGCAAAGAGCACAAGCTGTGTGTTCTTGTGGATGATGCTTTTTTTACCACCTGCTGACAGACCTTCACTGCTTCACTCTTCTTCCTAGGTTAATGCATGCCCTTCTGAAGAAATACGATTTATGAACAGCTCTCATACAAGTAAAACTTCCCTGAAACCCAATTACCTCCTTCTCAGGATGCTCCATTCAGCCTTAACCATTTCATCTTTACTTTTCCTCACAAATTGCATAGCAATCCTCCCTCAAATTCTTAATCTTCCTGAAAAAATAAAAATCATGCTGCACAGAGCAGAAGAGAGCTGCTATAGCTGTGTAGTCACAACCTAAGAGATCCTTATTCCACTTTATAGGTTACTACTGGAACATTAGAAGGAAAATCAATATCATTTGCCTGCACATCCCAGACTTGGGCCCTATGTTTGGAATTGGCTCCAAACCACATTAGCTAGAAGAAGGGACACTAGATGGTCCATATAATGCAGATTATTATCCTTTTCCTTTCATATGAAGAAAAAATTAAACATGGCTTTTATATTTTCACAGCTTGGTACTGGCATGCATCCAACCCAGTTCAAGGATATTCCTAAATAAGGCTGATGGCTGAGGCTTGCTATGCACAAAATGTTTATCTGTGTAAGGGAGTCACAGACTCCATTTTTTAAAAACTAGCATTTTTTCATAACAAAAATCCTTAAGCTGCGTTTATGAAGAACTCTGTTCAGGATGGTATCAGTCATTACATTGACAACTATCCCTGCAGAGACAATGTCCCTGCAGTGGCCACAAAATGCAGAATACATGAACGTATCTCAGGCTGGCAGTTAGAGATCTGATTATGTGATAAAGCCAATGAAGAAAATGTTAAAGGCAATGAAAAAGCTCATCATTTTCTACCAGGCATGAGCCAGCAGCTCAGCCACAGAAGAATGGAGAGAGAGGAAAGAATCATCTATTTATTATTCAGTTAGTCTTTGCTTGGACTCTGAAATATCAGCCACCTGCAGTCTTCATTTTCAAGGCTTGTGGGATAAAAAGCAATGAGATGGTGACAGATACAGGGCTGGTGCTCAGTTTTACTTTCTTCTTTTTTTTTTTTTTGATATAGGAAAAGCCTCCCAGCAAGTAAGACAATTGTCAGAAGGCACTTACTCTATTAGTACCACGTTAAAACAGTCTCGGAGAGAGGCTCAGTGTTAGCCATCCATATCTCCTTTTGCTAATAATGCCTCAGCTTCCTCGGCCTTCAGCAGCAAGCCCAGACAAATGCTTTACAGACACAGCTCTTTCCAGTGTTGTGCAATGCTGTCTCTCTAAGAAGAAGAAATCAAGTTTGCCTGCAGGGACCTGGGAACCTTCAGGGCTGGGCCAAATGCAATGCTCGGCACAGCACAACTGCTGAGCTATCTTTCAGACTCAGTCCTATAATCTAAATTGCCAGGTAAGGAAGATGTCTGCACCTTTATAAACTTTCCCTGCTGCTATTTGCTGCTGCTTTACTGAATTTAGTGTGGGCTTCCAGTAAGACTAAATTCATGGTTTTTTAAGGCACTTTTCTCAAAGTAGTTATTTGAAGTATTCTTCCACTGTACCACATCTTTGTGTTCTACCTTCTTTCAGGACTCCTGAACTTCAGGGTGCACAGGGCCAGCTGCCTCCAGACAAACCACCGGTGCCCACGAGGGCAAAGGCCTCTGTGAGGCCTCCTGCCTAGGAAGCGCCTGCGGTTGCCCGCGGGTTTCCCTGGGGCAGGCAGGAGTCCTGCATTTAGCAGGGAGAGGTGAGAGGACCCTGTCGGCGAGAAGAGCCGAGCAGGGAACTGATGCTTAACTCAGACCGGGAGGGCCTCACGGAGTGGGG